GTACAACTTCCCTGAGTTTGGGAACAGGGAGGTGGCACCTTCTGGGTCTGCATGTGTGGAGTCTGCCCTGACCCTGGGGGCCTCCTGCCCCATGGAGGAGATGTCGAGGACAGGAGTGGGGAGGAGTGGCAGGCGCGTGGGCCCCTGGCCTCCCTCACGGGCCTGGCTCTGACCCCTGCAGAGGCCGCTGGCGAGCCCAGAGGCTTGGGCCACAGAAGCTTGCCAAGTGCTGCCGGTTGTCGTGTGAGCCTTCTGTCCTTTGCTGCCCCGTCCAGGAGGCAGAGTGTCTGCTTAGGTCTTTGCAGGTACTGACCAAGCTTCTCTGAGAACCCGGGCTGCTGTCCTGGCGTTGTCCTGGCTCTGTCCCACGGAACTGTGTGGGTCTTGAAGAGCTCTGGGTCCTGCTGTGGCCAGCTGCCGTGCTTCAGCATGCGTGGAAGGATCTCGCAGAGTGAATGAGGGTGGCTCTGTGTCAGCTCCACGATGCCTACCAGCCACACGGCCCCAGCGCCCTGGGGGACCCAGCCAGGCACAGGGGCCCTGCGTACCCACTGCCACAGGCCGAGAGTGCACCCTCGTCGTGTCTCAGGTGACACAGTGAAACTCAGGTGAACTCAGAAACCTCCCCTGTGTCTCAGGCCCACGTGGCTGGGGTGTCTGACCCTGTGAAGTTTGTGCTTCCCAGCCTGGTCAGGGCCAGGGAGTCTGTGTGAACCATGGACCTTTCCTATCGCCCCTTATGTCCATTTCAACACTGGAAACTGACCAGGCTTCCTCTCCTTCCTCCCCTGGCATGGATCCCTAAGTCAGGGCACCGGGGCCTGAGATCATGGAGGTGACGTGCACCAACCTCTTCCATCTGCTGGGATCTGACTTAGTTCTAGAATATCCTTCCTGATGCGCAAGAGGCGTGTGATCGGGTGGGGCTGACCCCACTTGATCCACCCATCCCCCAGTACCAATGTCTGCCTCGGACGAGGCATTAGTGCTGAATGCAGAGCAGCTGTCCCCAGGAGCCATCTCCTGCCAGACCAGGCTGGTCAGGGGAGAGGAGAGGAGCTGCCTGACCGGCATGTGTGACCCACAGTGAGGAGGGGCCAGGAGGCCTGCTGTCAGGGCTGTGGGACAAGCCAGGCTGGTCCAGTTTCCAAACTGCTTTGAGGTGAATGTCGCTGGGTCTCTCCTCCAGGCACCTGGGAGGTGAGTGGGGCAGGCAGTTTGCTGCCTTTTTTCATGAGACAATCAAAGCCCAATGGCTCCCGCTGACTTCTCGGGTCCTTTGATGAGTGGCTCTGTGGGCCCACTGGCTCTTGTGACTCTGCCCAGTGCTGTGCTGGGCAGTTCTGTCCTCTGTGTTTCTTGTGCAGTCCTCTCGGGCTCTCCTGTGCACCCCTGCGGGTCCACACCTGGGAGCCAGCCAGCTGGCTAAAGTCCAGCAGTGCATCAAGGGCCGGGGCAGGCCTGAGGGCCAGGCTCTTCATGGGCCCCCGTTGGTTTCTGCTCTGGGCTGTGGTCCTGTTGGGAGTTGTGTCTGCGGTGTCAGCAGATGATGCAGAGGCAGGGCCTGCACCCTCTATGTCCTCGGACAGCCCTGGGCGCCGCAAGCCCCTGTGGTCTCCTTCCCACCGTCCTCTCTAGCCTGCTTCTCTGGTGCCCGCTCACCACCTATCTTCTGCAGAGGGGCCCCTCTGACTTCAGACCATGTCGTCTCCCGAGGGCAGCAGACCTCCTGGGCCAGCTCTGCTGCTCACTAGCCAGGTGCCCTCCTGGGCCACAGTCCCTCCTCTGTGGAGTGGCATGGACAGGCTGTCTCTGCACTGAGAGACCCAAGGCGTGCAGACTGCTTATGACAGAGACCAGTGTGCCCTAAGAACTACCTAGGCATGAGCTGGGCATGCTGGACTGTCACTGGACATTATCATTTGATGCCGTCTCCCCAAACCTGACTGACTGTCCAGTGGTGAATTCCTTGCACACAAGGGATGCATGTGGGACCGTGGGTGAGAGACCATGGCAGAGGGGCTGGGGTGATGTGGCCACTGTGGCCCTGCTGTGGTGCCTGCTTTCCATGGCTTGGTCGAGCGGAGATGGCACGGGTCCTCCACCCCAGAGGGCAGCTGGACTTTGTGTGGCTCTATGACCTAAGCAGACGTTCAACATTGTGCGCTGGTTTCCCTCCAACTTGGTTTTACAGACGAGGACACGGAGGCAGGGAGAGCTGAAGGGGCCCCTAGGCCCCGGGCCAGGAGCTGTGGCGTGTGCTCTGCTGAACATGCTCCCTCTCTGCCCACAGGCTGTCTGGCCTCAACACAAGCTTTCAGGTCACTTTCCTGCTGTCCTGGTTAGAGAAAGAGAAGGCAGGAGCAGCCAGCACCACTGAGAAGAGCCAGGAGCAGAAATGCCTCTCTGTTGGGAAGAACGTGTCCCTCACCATCCCTCTGAGCTCTCAGCCCCAAAGCAAAGGCTAACGTGTCCATGTGCCCAAGGAGTGTGAGTGCAGCAGGGCAGCTCTCTGGCTGGCTCAGCTCTGGGGAGCCGTCCCTTCCCCAGCTGAAAGAGGCCTCCCTGTCCTGGTTGGCCCCCGGGACCCCCACTTCCCCTGTCACCGCCTTGGTCTCCTTGCTTGTTGTTAAAGTGCATCTAGTGCTGAGTGAAGGAGTCTTAGGCCTCTGACTCTCAGCAGCCTGTGGCCACTCAGCTGGGCCGCCTGGCAAGCGCTCGTCACTGCTGGGTTTGAACCGAGCCTTCAGAACCACAGGCCTGGAGAGCTCATTGCCCCTGCTCAGGGCTTGGAGGCTTCCTCGCGTGTGCTTCGTGGAGTCTTTCACGGGAAACTCATACCTGGAGTGCTGAAGAGCCACCCCTTCCTGTGCATGCAGTGGCACAAAAGCTCAGAAATGGGGAAGCTCCAGCTGTGGCCTGGCTGGTCTGAGGGCGTGGCTGAGTGGGGTCTTCCCACCTGTGAACGGAGGTCAGCCTGGAAGCTGCCCACTGGCCCAGCGTCTCAGAACGCGTGCCGACCGCCGAGGGTCATGCTCATCACTCCTGTCCTGGCCCTCTGCTAGAACCCCGCCAGTTGGCGCCCCTGGGAGTTCAGCAGACCCTGCCTCCAGGAAGGGCAGAGGGGAAGAGCCTTGTCCTTTTGGCTCTGGACTCAGGCTAGTTTCCATAGCTGTGCTGTGTGCAGAGAGCAGTGTCCACGTCCCTGCAGCCAGGACGCTGCAGGGCAGGCTGCGCAGGAAGGCCAGAGTCCTGTCCCGAGGCACCGGGACCCTGAGGAGATGCACCGTTGGACCCACATCCAAGTCCTGAGTAGCAGTGTGGACCCAGGGCGTGAGGTCCAGGAAGGATGCTCGATTCTGCTGGGAAGTTCTTTCTTGCACATGAACAGGAGATAGGACTGTTTTTGCATGGGTTTGTTGAAGTAAGTGCTGGCTGAACCTGGGGCCTGCTGGCCAGCTGCAACACTGTGGGAGGTGGAGAGGCTGCCTGACCGCCTCTGGTCAGACTTCAGTTCATACCCTCCTGTCTGCAGATCACAAGAAACATTCTTAATTCAGTCGAGGAACACTCTCATGGGGGTGGGTACTTCTTATTGGGCATGTTTATATTTCAGTCAAAGTCAAAACCCACGCACTAATGTTCAGAAATATTACTGAAATTTTGTCATTTCCAGTCAAAGGAAGGAAATTGCTTTTGAGTCACTGCAGCAGCATGTGATGAACATAAGCTGACGAGTAAGAAGCAAGCTCTTCAAATCTGGCTCTGTGAAGAAGTGGCACACGGAGGGGCCAGCAAAGCTGTCTGCAGGCCAGGAGGCCCCCAGGGGCAGTCCCTCCCCACGAGGAAGCCTGGTGCTCCGAGCCTGGAAGTGCTGCCCCAGTTAACCCAGCAGCCAGGCAGCTGGCGGGAAGGGTCCTCAGCCAGTGCCTAAAAGTGGTGACCACCAGCCAGACCAGGGGTCCTGTGCCTGTCCACACACTGGCAGCTCTGAGTCTCACAGACAGAGCTCACAGACAGCCGTCCACCCCCCCAGGCTGTGCTGGCTGATTCAGGCCCTCCAGAGAGGAGGCGCTGGGCTGGCTGCGTCCCCACTGGTCCTGTGGAGTGGAGCTCCCACAGTGACCCGGCACCCGGGAGCTGAGCTGCCGTCCCCGCCGTCCCCCTCAGCCAGGAGGGCGGCTTGTGCCCTTCCTGGCACCTGTTGCCCCACCCAACAACGTCCTAGTCCCCTCTTCAGTGCAGATGCTGGTCTGCATTTCAGTAGCACATTCAAAATGAAAAAAAGAACAGTTTCAAGTTCTGAGATGTTTTTGCTGAGGAGATCACCCAGCACAGGAGGATGGTAGTCCTAAGTTAATCTGAACGGAATTTTTAAAAAATGCTTTGAGTAGGTTTAGTAATGATGAGTGACAGGAAGCACTTACAGCAGTTTTGATCCCTTGTAAAAGAAGATCCACACTGTCCTCTCCTCTCCTCGCCTTTGTGATACAGACCTGGCAGTATCGCCTAAGTGTCAAAGCTCCTTGTGACAAATTCCCATGTCCTCTGATCCTCTCAAAAGGTACTTCTTCAATTTTCTTCTCTGTAAATCTGATTCAGGCGGATGCAAGGGCTTTAAATTGTCTTTAGTTAATTACTTAGTTAACTATTATCTTTAGTTACTTATTTTTAAAACCATCTCCTCTGCTGCCTCCCTTGCCTCAGCACCCTGAGGTATGGTCCCTGCTTAGAAGGTCACTGTGGCCTTCTGGGGAGAGAGGCTGGACGCAGGACTGGCAGCCCTACATGCACCTCCCAGCCCAGAAACAGAACCCCGTGTGGCCTGAAGGCCATCTCTTTGTGGCTGTGGCTCCTCCGCATACCAGAAAATTGTAGCCCTTACCTATAAAGTGCCAAGGCATTGTGAATTTGTTAAATGAGGAAATAGCTGCTCACCTAAATTATTGATCACCATTTGGTGACCAAAAATAATTTCATTTTTTATTTTTCTCTTTTAGGTTCTGTAAATGAAAAGTTACCTCCACGGGAAGGCACAGGAAAAACAGGTAACTATCTTAACATCAGTTTTCATGATGATATTTCGTATCTAATCCAGTTGGTGCCTTGAAGTGACTTCTCAAGTTGAGACTTAAACATGCATTAGTAATGGTAATGGAGCTGAAATAGTGGTCAGTTCTTGATTTGTTCAACAGACATGTGGTCAGTCTCGGGGTTGCAGTCACCCTGTGGCTATGGTGCACATCCCTGGCCAGCCCTGGGGTCCACCTCGGGGCTCCTGCCCTGACTGTATCAGAACTGCTGCACTGTGTCCCTGGGAGGACTCTAGGGAGGGGCCAGTTCAGGCTTGGTCTCACCCCTCCTGCGCAGGGCCATTAAGCTCCTCCCTTAAGAACCACTCCTTGGCCAGGGTCAGCTTCCAGGGGCTGCAGGTGCCTCTGTGGCTACCAGGGTGGTGGTCCTCATCCCAGGTCCCCTTTCTGGTTTCATCTTCCCCAGGTTAAATGAAATCAGACTTTGACTTTCTTTCCCTGATCTGGGTTATTACGATGAACCTGTAGCAAAGAAGAGTAACGTAAAGACAAACGGACCCTGGTGTATCCAACCCCATTCCTGAAACATACATTGAAACTCTGACAGGCTCCGTCCCTCCCTGAGGAACATTTGTCAGGTGTTTGCTTTCGTAAGACAAAGGTGGCCACCTGGTCACCTCCAGCTGCCCAGAGACCACTCGATGGGGATGGGAGGGAGGTGGTTGTGTGGACACGGACACAGTCCCTGGGAGATGGAGCTCTCGGTGCAGGAAGAGCCCGTTCGTTTTCCAGCTGTCGCAGTGACAGGCAGAACGGGGTCCTGGCTTGACAGGTCTGCGAGGGGAAGAAGGGACAGGCACACTGAGCACTGGAGTGAGGGTCTGGATCTGCATCTGTGAGATTTTGGCGGTCGTCAGACTGAAGGTCGGGGAAAAGGAAGTGGCAATGTTCATGCTTCTAGAAGTCAATCAGACGCTGAAGAGGGAGGAGCAGGAGAGGGAGGATCCGGCTCAAGGACGGCTCTCCTCCTGATCCTTAGGATTGTAGATGCTCATGGAACCCACTGTGGGGTCTTCCCGGGGAATTGGTGTGTGGGCACGAAAATGAACTGAAGCCCCCAGCCAGAAGACAGGCCTTTAACAGAAGGAAAATGGGGAACCCAGCCGCTGAGACCACTGTCTCATGTCCTCGGGCTGCATTGGCCCCACAGGGCTTGTGCTGACACAGAGCTGCTCAGGGCAGCACAGGACAGGCTGAGGGTGCCTGGGGTCTGCCCCCCCAGCCACACCCCCACCCCTCACCTCCCTCGCCCTGGGCAGCCAGCAGCCCATAGATGGCAGGGACCCCATGAGTCTGGGGACAGCTGGAGGGCCCAGAGTGGCAACCTGCTTAGACCTCCGCATCTGACTGCCGTCGCCAGCCCTGAAGACTGAGGATGAGCCTTTGCAGGGTTTTCCCCATGTGCACGTAGGACCTGGAGCAGGGGCCTGGACCGGCCCTCACTGCAGCTTCTCCTCTGAGAACATGGCAAAACATTTAGTAGACATGGGCCTGGCTCTGGCTACCATTGTTGTTCGGCTCAGACTTTGCTATCAAATGATGTCACATTATTCTCATTATTTGGACCATAAACAAGAGAGCTCAATGTTAAAGATTTTTAAAAATTTCTTTTTGGCTTTCCTCCTAAAAAACCTTATGCTAGGCTTCACTGCTATTCCTCAGCAGGGAGGGTTAGCAGATAGGCCCAGGGTCTGCCGTCATCTTGTGTTTTATCCTGAAATTCCTACCTAGCAGGGGGCACAGGCAAGCCTGGGTGGGGAAGGGGGAGTCCTGGGGGCCCAGGGCCTCCCCACTGCCCAGCGGGGCTGGTCCCAAGCAGGCTGAGTAGGAGCTCTGGAGCAGGCAGGCTGTGTCTGGGCTCTTACGCCTGCCCCTCCCCGGGAACTGGAGGACTCCTCTCAGATGTCTGAGTGAAGATGGTCCAGTGAGCAGGTGCCCTGTGCACGCCCGGCCTGCTCCCTGCTCCTAGCCCTCACCCCACCCACCTCTCCTCCTGTGTGATGCTTCTGCATCGTCCTGCACAAGGCAGAGCTCAAGGCGCACAGAGCTCCCGGCAGCCAGGGGTCCAGCCCACGCCTCCCTGACTGCTGCCTTTCCACACACCAAAGGGGGGTGCACCCAGTGCTGGTTTTAGCCACCCTCCCTGTCCCCCTGTCTCCTCCTCGACTCCTGATGACCTGAGTTCACCACTCTGTTGATTTGAACCCTTTCCCAGATCTAGCCTCCCCTGCTCCTGGTGTCTCACCCCTTCCCCAGCCATCCTGGGGCTGGGCATTGGCCCAAGGGCTTAGGGCCACATCTAGCATCTCCTGCCTGGGACTTGGTTTTCAGCCTTGAGCTGAGTTTTGAAGCGGTGGCCCCTGCGGCTTCCATCAGAGTCTGGTCGGGGTTGGCATGGGTGCAGCCCCCGCGTCCATTCAGGGTGGCTGTGGGGGTTGGCGGGGCTGCTTGCGAGTCCTGAGCTCTGTCCTGCATGCACACTTACTTAGCTTACTCTCATAATTGTAGTCTCCTTGCAAATCTTTTCCGTTCTGAATTCAGATGATGCCGCAGCTCCGGCGCTGGAGACACAGCCTCAAGGAGATGAGGAAGGTGAGCCTGGGAGGTGATCTGGGTTTGTGGCGGGGAGGCCAGAGAGCTGGGAGGCAGAGTCAGGTCGCCCTGTGAGGAATGCCACTCACAGAGGATGGGGATGAGCCAGGAACACGGTCTTCCAGCACAGGGGAGAGAGGAAAGGTGGCCACCGGGTGGGAGGGGCCAAAGGATACCAGTTGCACCTACGTGGGATGAGGAGGTTAGCGATCTGATGTGTGGCCTGAGGGTCATCGTTGCTACTGCCCTGAGCATTTCCTAAGACAGTGAACTCAGGTACTTCTACCACACACAACTTAAGTGAGAAGAAGGGTATGTTAACCTGCTTGATTGCAAAACTCGTTTCAGTCTCTATCCTAAATAGAGATGCCCAAACAAGATATTTGGCCTGAACCTCTGTGAGGGCACCTGCTGTTTTCCTGGGGATTTTAATGTTGAATGGTACTTCACATAGCAGAACACTGAGATATTCAATTTTTAATACAAATCTGTGAGTTGAGATCTTACGATTAAGATAACATAAAGTGTATATTTCAAAAGTGTACAATAACATATGCCATTTCTCTATTCATCTTTTCACATTTTTGTTATGATGAGGATAGATTTCCTCTCTTCACCTTTAATAAATTGTTTTGGACAGGTCAAATCCTCAGGTCAATTGGAATCAGTTGGGATCAGGGTTTAAATATAAATAAATACAAATAAATCAGGGATTGGAATACAGTTGCACCTTGCTTTGCAAATAAGCTGACATGCACATGGTGCTGAAGGCCACACCCTCTCTGCACCTGGGCACCCCATTCCAAACAGGAGAGCCAGAGGTGTCTGGGTGGTGAGGGCGAAGGGATCTTTAGAATCTGTGTTCTCAGGGCAGAGCTCTGACCTTCACTATAAATATTCAAATGCATTTGTTTACACAGTCTCACTAAAATGGTACATCCCTGAAATTTTTTTCACAAAAATTATATTTTGTGTTGAGGGAAAACCTGCGTGTTAGATGAGCAACTATCTGTGCCACACAGTACATTTTCATACACTGAGTTGTTTTCTAATACCCAGTTCTCAGGAAACTGTCTGGATTTAAACTATTTTTAATCATACTTTGGTTAAAGAAGAAATATGCTAAAATAATATTTGAATTGTAATCTTACCATTTCTTTTTGTTTTGTGCACATGATCACGTTGACAATTGCTTTAGGAAGCAGTGATGTGCACTTGTGTGTTACACCCACTTTGTTTGTTTGCTTTGCTGCCTGCTGGAACCTTTGAGGAGCTTTGATGAGAATAATTCTCCTTTTACTTCACTAGGTATCGCATCACGTTATCCCACCCTTTGGACGGAGCAAGTCAAAAGCCGACAGAACAAGACCAATAAAAACTCAGGTAAAGTGGGACGACCGTTGCAAATGCACGTCTCAGCTCTCAGCTGGGAGCTTCACCTGCGGGGGTGCCAGGCATTGTGTCCTGTAACTTGGTCACAGAGTCCTAAGAGTGTCACTTATGGCCGGGCCACCAGATGCATTTAAGATGTTGGTGTTTTCTTATTACACTTTCTAAATTCTTCAAAGGTTTATGTATGAAAAGGGAAACGTTTGATGTAAAGACACCGATGACAGGGGCTTGACTGTTGGGGTCAAGTGTTGGGTGACTCTAGACAAGCATTGGTTGCGTCCTCCATGGTTGTGATTCTGGCTGGTTTCAGGAAACCTGCTTCTTCCTGTAGTTCCTGTTGACCTCTGGCTGGTGTCCACAGTACATTTTGGAAGGGAGTGATCTTGGGGTTTCAAGGAGCTTGGTGCAGAGGAGACCCAGCTGGTGACAACTGAGATTTCTTGTGCTGCCTCCTGGGAAGGCTGCATGGTGACCGCTGCGAGGTGGTCAGCGTGGTGGCTGCTGGTGGCTCTATGTCTCTGTCAACATGCATTTTTAATAACAACTTACTGGAAAGTCGGGCGGTTTACCAAGGTTCAGGGTCCTCAAGCAGCTGGACTCTGCTCTCACCCGTGCACTGGCCCAGCGGCACAGCCCCAGGTGGAATCAGGAGTGTCTGGCTGGTGTTGCCCGGGAGGACTGGGTGGCCGGGGCCTGGCACTTCCCTCCCACCTGGCGTCTGCCCAGGGCATTTCCCAGCCCACTGCGGCCCTCACCTGGCTCTGGCCAAGCCCTGTCCCTCACCTTCCTGGTGGGCTGAGAAAGGCAGGATCCAAAGGTTTCACCACCAGATACGTGGGTACAAATGCAGGAAATTAAAACGATTTATAAAGTGTTGATTTTTTCCAAAGGAATGATATTACACATAAATTCTCCCTGTTGTGTAAAAATATGCAACTGTGTACTTCTCTCATAAACTTTAGAAACTCAGTCTTGTTTGCTTTTGCACCGTGAGGCTATTGGCTTTGCTTCTGAATTCTATAAACTAATGCAGGAGAAACCACTCAGAACACACGTGCATGAGCTCGCCAGTAGGTCTGGAAGCTCCTCAGGGCAGGGGTGACGTGCAGTGCCTGAGCTTTGAGAGACACATGCCCAGTCTTTGTGAGCCCCATCCCTGGGTGCTCTTAAGCACAGGTCATTGTGAGCAGGGGCCATTTGGGGTTGGCAGGTTGAGCCTCCCAGAAGCCCAAAGAACAAGTGTACCATTGTTTGACACTTGCTTGTGCCTTGTTCTGGGCGGCCAGGTGGCCTGCCAGGTGCAATCAACCCATGGAAGCTGGACAGGCTTTCAGTAGGTCATGGGGCTGAAAATCGGGCTTCAGGAAGTCCCATCCACATCAGCTACCCTGCACATTGCTTGATCTAAGTCTGCCTGCATGAATAGAGTACAGGAAGGTGGCGTGAGCTGGTTTGTGGATGTGGGGCTTGAAAAGGAGTGGTCAGATTTGTGTTTAGTGACAGCTGTCCAGGTGCAGGTCTATCTCAGTCTGAAGAGGGTATTTTGGGACATTAAAAACAGTGTTTAATTTGTTCCGTTTTAACAGTGAGATGATGTATCACAAACAATCAGGATTTACATAATGGCCACCACTGTCATTGAAGTTTCAAACGTATCAATCAACTGTATGCATATTTATTTTCTGCTGTTCAAAGCTGCTTTTACTTATAATCATCTTTGGTAGACATGGGCACATTTATTGGACCAAAAATGAATGATTTGTGACTTAGTACTCTGTGTTTTTAAAAATTCTCTTAGTTTGTCAGTTTTCTTTCATCTTCTTTTATAGAAAAGGTCAACCTAGAAACAAACGGCATTGCTTATCTGTCCTCTGATGTTCCTGTAGGTGAGCAAAACATAGGATTTTCCCTGTGAGTTTGCAATAAAAAAATGTTATTTCTTTTGGTAGCAGTGCCAGCACTAGCCCCAGGCCTCACGATGGGAGCGAGTGTGTGCTGTGAGCACGTGGCTTACAGCAGAGTGGCAGTAGCCTTTCCAAGGGACCATTCTTCCAAAACAAACCAAGCCTCCCAGCCTGTGAAGCTTTTCACATAGTAGTTACTCAATAAATGTGTATTTACCACAATAAATATGTACTTACTAAACCAACACAGAGTCTTACCATCACACATCCCATGGGTACTCTGATGGTACCATTGCATTTGTTTCTAAACCTGAATTAACGAAACAGAAGTATAACCAAGTTGATAAATAGTGAGGAAAGAGGGAACCTCAGTACCACTGTGCTTTGGCTTCTGGATTTATATTGGTTGAAATTCAATGCAAATATAATCATATATGAAATGTTTTCTGTTCATTCAGTAAGAAAAGCATCTCTTTCATTTAATGATCAATATACATTAAAGAAATGACTAGAATCTCATTTTTTTTAACTTAGGAATGCAGTATCCACTTTTCCTATCTATATAAGACTAGGTGTTGGTTCGTCTCTGTCTTGAGTCATCTTACCATCTGAGCTTTGCTCTATTCATAACGGGTACACCAGGTATGGCAGATATTTATCAGGTAGATTTTGCAAGTTTCTTTCAATCAGATGACTGCATTAGTGTCTCATGATTAACTAGTGAAAACCTAACCATTGCTCTTCCCTGGGGCGTGGCAAGTGCTTCCCCGATCCCAGCCTGGCTGCCCTGAAGCCCCCTCTAGGATTTGGAAGAGGAGCTTTGGGTTTCTCTTCTTGGTTGGAGAGTGCCTCAGGCATGCAGCGATTCCCAGATGCCAGGCGCTGGGGCTCTGTGGCCTTCCAAACGAGGGGCCTCTCTCAGAAGGGAGCGTGAGCTGGGCCTTCAGGGCTTACGGGATGCTGCCTGTAGGGCCAGAAGCGGCCACCCAGGCCCTGGTCTCTGGAGTCCAAGTGCGAGTCCTTCTCAGTGCCCAGGTGGCGGGAGGGGGAGTGTGGCTGGCATGAGGCTGGCTTCCTGCAGCCTGGAGAGGAACCTGCAGTGGGGTGTGACCTGAGCAACCGTCCTCAGAGCGTGTTCATCCTGGGGTCCATGGGGCATGCCTCTCCCCAACAGGAGGCCAGACCGCTGTCCTCACCTTGTTTCAGGGGCCTTCGTCTTTTACAAAGTACTAAGAACAAGATGACCATGTTCTTTTTCACTCGAGGTGTCTGATAATGCAGATAAGATTCTTAAGTTTATGCCAAAAAACGTGTGTTGATTTGTATTGATGAACTGGGATTCTGCTCGGGGCCCGTTACCTGCTGAAGAGAGTACAAAGGGGCGGAAATAGGAGCTCAGCCCAGAACAGGTGGCAGAGCCCAGCAGGGCTGGGAGGCAGAGGCCCTCTTGGTGGAGAGGGACCCGAGGGCCCAGGGCTGCGTTCTTCTGCACATCAAGAGCTGGGCATGTGCCCTCCAGGGCCCAAAGCCTCAGGATGTTCTGTGCCCGTGTGGCCGGCGTGGCGCCGTCGTCCGCACCACACCAGCCTAGGGGTCGCGTGAAGCAGAACCCATCAGTCAGTGGGGTCAGGGTCCGGCTGGGGGACCGGGCTCTGCAGGGTGGGGTAGACCCTCGGCTGCCTATGGCTGGGCCCCGATTTTCCAGTCAGATCCTCCACTTGCCCCTGCCCCATGCGGACACTGAGGCATTGCTGAGGGTCTGATGCTGGCCAGGAGGGAACCAAGTGGCGTTTGGGCTGGGTCACCCCTGGGGCCACTGCCCTTGGGTCAGAATGGATCATGTGGGTCGCAGTGCCCTGGGGCCCCTCTGCTTGGGCTGAGGGGAGGGGGGCAGCCCAAGTCTCCGCAGGGGAGGCCCACGTCACGGTTCCCACTGTCCTCTGTGAGGGTGCCTCCTTCTTGGGGATCCCTGTGCTGCACAGTGCTGTGGTGTGGGGGGTCGCCCTCACCGCCAGCAGCTCCTAAAACCAGGGGCGATTGAGGGCTCTTCTTGCCCTCCCAGGTCAGCACCTCAGCCTTAGCCCACACTGTCCTGAGGTGGCTCTGCAGGGCCACTGGCCGAGCAGTTTATCACCTGCTGGCCCCTGCTGGACCCCAGGGCCCCTGTGTCCCTCCTGAGGCTGCAGCACTGCCTTCGGGGCTCCACCAGGGCCAGCTTCACACCCGGGCGCTGGACACCTCAGTCTTCCGTTATTAACCTCGGATCTGAAGCTGGTGCGGGAGTGGCCTGTGTCCTTCCCTCCAGGGCCTGCGGGAGCCTGATCTTCCCTTGGAGCCCAGGCTGAGGCTTTGCAGACTTCCGCGGGACACAGGCCTGCCCCAGGCCTCCCTCTGTAATCCTCTGGCTTTGCTGACCTCTCATTTAGTGCCTTTTAAGATTTTGCACACGAGCTGGAGGAAACATAGAGGACCCTGTTTCTGTCAACTGTCAGAACCCTCCTCCTACCAGGAGAGAGTCTCCTTTCCTCCCCAGACTGCGAAGACAGCCCTGCTTCGTGTCTGGGGAGAGCCTGGCGTGCTGGGCGCCCTGCGGTTTTATGGGCCCCTCAGCGGAAACGCTGCTCTGCCTCATTCAGAGTCTGATAATTTTTGTTTTATTGCACATATTAATATTAGTGCCAAAAGATAATTATCATTTAATTCTGCTTTAAATCATGGTAGATTACATTCCCTGGAGGCAAATAATACAAATCATATTTTCTTTTTTTAATTTCTGAGTTTCTCCTTTTCATTCTGTTTTTCAAACATAACAATATAAAAGCATCAAGACACCAGGGAGATTTGTAAGTTATAAAGCTTGGCCATCTGAAGAGCTTACGGTATTAAAATGAACCTGGCAATTCCTGCTAACTGTGACTATGAGACTGTATTCCTTAAAGGCATCAATTATTCCTCTGAAGATGGACATCACTGAGTTGATCCTTCACTGAGTCTTCTTAATTACACATGGAGGTTTTAATTGCAGTGATACTTCAGGGTTTCATATTTCTCCTATTATGATATTGAGTCAAACTCTGGTTAAGTTGG